GATTGGTTCGACCTAAAACCGTATTGGCAATCAGAGAGGATTTTATTTTTTCAATGAATGTATCTAATCTGTTATTAAAGAGTTTTTCCAGAATTTTTGACAATTGTGACAACAGAGAAACCGGTCTATAATTTGTGAAGTTGTGCTTATCACCAGATTTATACAGTGGAATCACCTTTGCTATTTTCATATTATTGGGGAACTGCCCAAGTTGAAACGACATGTTAAAAATATGGGTTAATGGTTTGCATATCCCTTCAATTACCCATTTAACAGTTGTCATAGTGATACCATCACTATCACTAGATGTTTTGTTACCACATTTATTCACTATCTCTATAATTTCCTTTTCAACTATGGGCTTCAAAAACATAGAACTCATGTTCCTTTCGATTGTATTATTATTTATAGTGACGGATGTATCATCTGTACAAATGCTTCTTGCTAAACCAGGACCAACATTCACAAAGAACCTATTAAACTTATCTACTACATCCTCCAATCTATTAACCGGTGTATCATTATCCATAAAATATTGAGGGTAGTTACTCTTGCTGGAACTGTTTCTAATCAATTTATTTAATATATTCCAAGTACCTCTCATATTATTTTTATTATCCTCTAATACTTTAGAGTAATATAGTTTCTTACATCTCCTCAAAATCTCAATTAATTTGTTCTTATATGACTTATATGTTTCTTCCGCCTTCTTTGATCTGTACTTTATGAATTCCTTATATAACGCATTCTTCTTTTTACATGCATTCTGTAATCCCTTACTCATCCACGGTTTCCCACTGTAATTCCTTTTGTTTTTATATTGCTTACGAGGACAGTTCCTGTCATATATCTTCTTAAATATATTTAAAAATTGCTCATATGCTTTATCTAAGTCTTCCTCTCTGTAAACTGATTCCCAGTTTTTCCCCATAAAATCCTCTTTTTAGTCTCCTTACAGCATGTTCATTCATCACCCTCCTATAGAAACACACTTTGTGCCTTTTTTTCATTTTTCCAATTTCCATTTATATTTTACTTGTTTTCTTTTAAATGCATTTAGTTCAAGAATACAATCACAGTACCTGGCTGTCTTGGTAAAAATGCCCTTTCTGAATGGAATTTCCCATGTTTGTCTAAGTGTCACATCAGCTGTGAAAGTTCTTCTACATTAAGTTTCTACCATATCGCATGAGAAATCTGATAGACATAGCCTGACAAACATTATCTTCAGACAGGCTGTGGGAGTCCAGCTCAGCTTATGAGAACCCATTGCACTCACCTCTGACACGCTAAAACCACAGGCCATATTTTACCAAGCAGCAAAAAGCACTTCCTGCTTCATGTCAGAGGTGGTTAATCTGCGGCTCTGGTGGAAGAACAGCATAAACACAACTCCTTCCACAGAATGAATTTATTCTCATTGGGGGAGCACAACTGTGTCTAATTTCTCTAACTATCATTTTATCATCCACAGGGTCCTGACATAGGAAGAAGCTGTAATCATGTCTTCCATCATGGCAGCCTGACTTTAGACTCCAACACACTTCCTCTCTTAGTTCTCTCCTGTTTGTCTCTAGTCTGTCCAATGTTACACCCGCGTGACCCGTGGGGAAACGATCCATTGTCATCTCTTCCTCTCATCTGCAGAGCATTGACTCCGGAAGGCAAATCTTTCATTCCATCTGGATGACTTTGTGGTTAGAGTGGTGGATGGTGGGGGAATGGTGTAGCATAGCAGTCTCCAACAGCCCCTCCAATAGGGCCTCATCATACCAAAAAGCACAATAACTGTCTCTGGAAAGTAATTTTAAGCAGTGTTGCAGTAAAAGCTTCAGTCATGCAGTTTAAATGGCAAGACAACACCATGTTCAGTCCTTTTAAATGACTTAGCATTTAAAATACCTATCTGCTGTGTGTTTTAAGTGGTAAAAACTAAATCTGTAATGCAGTGATTGTGACTGCTAATCACTGCGACAGACACCGGGCTTGGCAGGCTTTATGACTCAGTTTCTATTTGCATGCTCTCATTTGCATACCTGCAATAAATGCACACCTAGGTAGGAAAAAGATGATATGTCAGACATGCTGTACACAAAAAAAGTAAAAGTGAAAAATACATAAAGGTTTGTGTAAGTATGAGTGACACGTATCTGATATTGAGCACCAGTAAAGTACTGCGTGACTTCATCATAACCTGTACTCAGAAAGGGCACTGTTTGTGTGTGTGTGTGCATGTAGTTTTAACTACATCCGGTCCTTTTATCTGAAGGCCCCAAGAAGTAACACTCAGGAATCGGGCTGAGACTGCCCTGTACATGGGTGGTACGTTACACGTAAATATTCTAGAATGTTCATATAGGCAGTATGTGTGTGTGTGTGTGTGTGTGTGTGTGTTGTTATCTTCTATTTTCAGGTGTTTCTCTCTAACTGAAAGTGGACATGCAGTTAGCTGTGTCACTTACTTTCCTGATTTTGTTGTAAAAACCCCTTACTCATGCTTCAGACATGAGTGACCAGTTCAAGCCCGTCAGACTTCACGTCTGTAAAATAGCATAAATTAACAGTATCTTATCTATACTTTCCAAAACGACACTTATCTATGCATCTATTCTTGCACAATTATCCAAGAAGATGAGAAATACTACAAGTTGACTCGAAGCTGAATATTATAACTATAATGCATGCATAAGAGCCAGGTTAATACTGATACATGGTGCTGTTAATGAAACACAGACAGTCATACTAAACTCTATCATTATAAAAGCAAAATAATACTAACTGTAAATAAAACAACTGTAACTCCTGAAATCCAATCCTAAGAGCAGGATGGCTGAATGAGAGAAAAAATATTTTAAAAAAGAGAAAAAATGTTATAAAATATGTTAAGCTCCCACACATAACACAAACAAACATTTTTTATACACACTGTTTTGACCAAGACATATACTGAGAGGGACATTTCATTGTGAGTGTCTCCTGGGGGACAAAATGCTGTTTGTAACGGCAACACAAACACACGTTTAGTATTTTTGTGCTATAATTTCTCCTTAGAAGTCTGCTATAATATATCTGCAATAAGCTAATACCTACCAATTTACTGACTTTGTTGGTTTATCAGTCTAGGTTGTAACTAAAGCTCTAAGCTGAATGTAGTGAAGTAAAAAGTAATAGCACCTCGAAGTACTTTAGAATTTGCATCTTGAAATGTAGTGTAGTTGAAGAGAAGGTTAAACCAGCACAGAATGGAAATACCCGATTAAAGTACCAGTAGCCTCCCTCCCCATTGCACAGTAGCACATCACTACAGTACGTATCAACCTGGTACAAACTAGTATGCTCCGCTGTGCAGTAAGGAGTCCAAGACATGCAGCCTAATTTGTTTTGGTTGCCAATAAATAAGGAAAGTCACCACGACAAAAGAAGCTTGCTATAAGCTTGCCATGGGGCAATAGCAGCAGAAATCTTGGCTTTTGAATAAGTAATAAAATGCCATAAAACCCCCAGTCTAACGCTGCTAGTTTGTCTTTGGGTGAGGTAGGCCACCGCTTGACACCTGTTCACATCTGGAAACACGTGGAGGGATGTTTGGCGCTGCCAAAGGTGAGGCGAGTTCACAGTTAGTTTAGGTTATCAAGAGATCACAGTAACCCACAGCATAAAAAAGACACATGAAGAGAAAGAATAATTGTTTTACACTGTTACCTGTTTTCCGCTCGCCTTTTAACTTGACTTATGCAAGCGCCGCATATCCAAGTGGACTTGAATGGTTCCTTCGCTGACAGTGTTTCAGGAAACCTTTAGAAGAAAACTGGCTCCATTTCCAGTGTGGAATAAATAGTTTTACCTTTCGCTTAAACAGATGTTTCATCCAGAGAGAGGGAGACAGAGAGAGATTACATCGTCTCCTGCTTCGGCCACGACCGACCTCCGTTTGTAGGAAAACGTCGCCCGAAGTTTTTCCTCTTTGCTTCAAACATTAAAAGTTAAAACTGTTTACCTCGTCTGACAGCAAGTGGGTTATAAAATGCGGAAGAGGGGGAAATAAAGATCTCCGCCAGCTGTGTCCCTGTATGGCGACGCAGTGACTCGCAGCCTATCTCATCTCAGTTCCAATCTGCCTGATAAACCGAAGCCACGAACCATCGTCGTCGATTTGGGACCCGACCAGACTTCTTCCGCTCCCAGAACTTCACAAGTGCTCACAAGTCACTGTACGTCCTCACCCATTTTGTTTGAACATTTTTGTTATTGCCTATGTTTCTGATCAAAAGGAGAGATTAGAGATTTTAAATACAGTTTTGTCCCACCCCTTATTGTCCCGTGCAGGGCTTGCTCTGCCTGGAATGTGTTCTCATAGCGGTTTTCCTGTTGCTTACTGAACCTCTCATTTTCCTTTCCCCCCTGTGGACTGGTGTCTGCGCTACACTGACAGGAATGCGCTTCAATAACCCTCCTGTGAGTAAAAACAAACCCCCACTTTTTACCTTACATTTTTACCAGTTATTAAATCATATTTTATGGAGGATTTGTGCGTATTTTAACAGAAGGGATGAAATTAAACATCCCCTATAGCCATTTTTAAGGAAAATGAAGACTCTATGTTTCTCCCACAAAATAGTTCACTTATCTAAACCTCTTCATCCTGATCTACCCCTTTCCCCAGGATCTATGAATAAGTAATTATTTTCTATTTCAAACATTTGACCATTTCAGAGCAGCAGAAACAAATTATTTAAGTTGTTGAATAGTGAGCAGTTTCTGGTCTCCACCAGCACCAGGCCTATAGCTCCTTAACTGCTCCAGCTTGTTCATCACCTAGTTGCTAGCTATGTCTGTCAGCTGAACAGGTATATAATGGGGTTTTAGAGCTTTTTCTCTGAAAAAGCCAATAGCTGTGGACCAGAACAGTAAAGTTTCAGGCTGTACCGCTAATCAAATCAAATCAAATTTTATTTGTTAGCGCCAAATCACAACAAAAGTCATCTCAGGACACTTTACAAAGTAGGGTCTAGACCTTACTGTTATCAATATTATTACATAGGGAAAACCCAACAAATCCCCCTTGAGCAAGCACTTGGCCACAGTGAGGAGGAAAAACTCCCTTTAACATAAGAAACCTCCGACAGACCCCGGCTCTTGGTGGGCGGCCTTCTGCCTCGACCGGTTGGGGTGAGTGGATAGAGGAGAGACAAAAGAAGAAAAGCAACAAGACACAACAATCAAACACTGATCAGGTCGATGTGGCTGGTGACTGCTCGTCAGAGACATAAAGCTCCAGGGCCAGGGCAACCTGCAGAAAGGTACAGGGAGAGAGAGAGGACACACTACGGGAGAGAGGAGACACAAAGTTAATGGTGGTATATAGAAGCATAGGGAGAGAGAGGAGAGGAGAGGAGGGGAGAGAGAAACTCAGAGCATCATGGGGCCCCCCAGCAGCCTAGGCCTATAGCAGCATAACTAAGGGAAGGCTCGGGGTCACCTGATCCAGCCCTAATTATAAGCTTTATCAAAAAGGAACGTCTTAAGTCTAATCTTAAAGGTAGAGAGGGTGTCCGCCTCCCGAACTGAGACTGGGAGTTGGTTCCATAGGAGAGGAGCTTGATAGCTAAAGGCTCTGCCTCCCATTCTGCTTCTGTGGACTCTAGGAACCACAAGTAAACCTGCACTCTGAGAGCAAAGTGCTCTGTTAGGATGATAAGGCACTATGAGGTCCTTAAGATACGATGGAGCCTTGTCATTAAGGACTTTGTATGTTAGGAGAAGGATTTTAAATTCTATTCTGAATTTTACAGGGAGCCAGTGGAGAGAAGCTAATATGGGAGAGATATGATCTCTCTTGCTAGGTCCTGTCAGTACTCTGGCTGCAGGATTTTGGATTAACTGGAGGCTTTTTAGGGAATTATTGGGACATCCTGATAGTAAAGAGTTACAGTAGTCCAGCCTGGAAGTAACAAATGCATGGACCAGGTTTTCAGCATCACTTTGAGACAGGATGCTCCTGATTTTTGCAATATTGCGCAGGTGAAAGAAGGCAGATCTCGAGACTTGGTTTATGTGTGATTTAAAGGACATATTCTGATCAAAGATGACTCCAAGGTTCCTCACAGTAGTACTGGAGGCAAGAGCTATGTCATCTAAAGTAACTATATGATTAGACAGCAGATTTCTAAGGTTTTCAGGCCCAAGCACAATAACTTCAGTTTTGTCAGAGTTTAGAAGTAAGAAGTTGCAGGTCATCCAGGCTAATGAGTTGAAACTGACTATGAAGCCAAGAAGAGCTGCAGATACAGGTCATACTTCTCTGCAAGGTTCCTTTTTTATGTTGTCACATTGTTTTCACATCATCATTTGATGCAATATCATTAAAATTTTGATTATAGCTGCTTTAATTGAGGGACACAAGATGTTTCCTACTTGACTGAAAGGTTAATTCTCAGTGTATGAACTTAGGCTCCGAAATGTGGAGGATGCACTTTGAGATGTGTTTTTTTCTCTTGAGAAATCACTTGTTCTGCCAATGTGCATGTCTAATATATCAGTGAGTGTTGCAAAGCTTGCACGTCCACTCAAACTGACACTGACAATGGCGCTCAAGTGATTTTATTTTACAGCACTTATGGCAGTCAAAGTGTGCATTAGCGGTAAACACGGTTCTCGCTGAGACGCCAGAGAGCTCTGTGGAAACACATCATTCAGCAAAGCCTAAGAGAGATTTCTTCATGTCTGTAATATAAATTCCTCTCCTTGTTCTCAGGCTCAGTAATCTCTGTTGTTGGCTTGTGGCTGCAGACAGCTGGAAGCTCTCACATTCACTGTCATGTGGTAAAAGAGCAAATTGCGGTTCTTTTTTGCACGTATTTTTCTTTCCTAATCTCTATGATTCAAAGAACTACATGGCCCTTCTTCCTTAGGGTCTTTACTAAAAGTCTCTATTTGTTGTCTAATCTACTAGATTAGAGGAAATGTGATATTGTTTCATTTTTTTCCAGTGAATCTTTTTGATAAACAAGATTTATTTTACTTCTCTTACACTTTAATCCTAGTGAATAGCAAATATTTTTGCTGTTGACATGACACACAACACAAGTCAAAAAGTAATGTTGACTTTAATCATATTCATGCTTCACAGTGTGATTACCTCATCGTCAGAGGTCATAATCTATCCATCTTGTGTTACAACTCCATGAGGATAGGTGTTTAAAGTCCACAGGTCTGGTAAAGGTCTTGTGTTCCTTCACTGAACTCTAGAGAGGTATTCATTTTAGAGCTGACCTTAAATCATCAGGTTCCCCCTGTGATGAGGAAGTGAAACACATTTCTGAAAATATATTGTGACAGTGTTTCACTATTAAAATGATCAGATTCTGAATGTTAGCTCTTTGTTAATACTAAATATTTTCATGAAACATATCATAGCAGTCCCTTTGATTGTATGTTACCACTAGTAAAAGCTAATTGTTATGTAATGATACTGCACACTGGATTAAAGGATTAGAGGCCAAGGTTCAAAATCCATCCCAGGCCACTCTATGAAGCGCATTAAAGGCTTCCGCAAGAAGCTCAATTACTTTATTGTGAAAGAGTAACAAAGGTTATGTGCCGAACAAAATGCAGCTCAATCACACATGCTCCAGTTAAAGAAATGTTAGATTTTTAGTGTGGAAGTACTTCCAACCATCCATCAATTTTCTATACTGCTGGAGCCAATCCCAGCTGATATTCGGTGAGAGGCAGGGTAGACCCAGGACAGGTCGCCAGTCTGTCACAGGGCTGATACGTAACGAAACAACCACACACACTCCTACGGGCAATTTAGAGTCACCAATTAACCTAAGCTGCATGTCTTTGGACTGTGTGAGGAAGCCGAGGTACCCGGAGAGAACCCATGTAGGCACAGGGAGAACATGCAAACTCCACACAGAAAAGCCTCAAGTCAGCCCAGGCTCGAACCCAGAAACGTCTTGCTCTGGTGGTCAAGTAAAAGCACATCAAACACTGACAGACTGAGGACTTGTGTACCAGTGAGGAGTTTCTCACACTCAGACAAATGTTGCAGAGATATGGCTCAGTTCCTTTTTTTTCTGTATCTCCATGGGGTCATTCACATGCCACAAAAGTCCAGTAGATTCTATGTGCTGCACAGAGTGAAGACATGATGGCCTTTAATAAGAAAACAAAAATGTTTGGTATCTTGTATAAATACCATGTTGGTATGCTACTTCAAAATCACTCACACTACACAGCTTGGTAAAATCCTCACAAATGTACAGCATTTTCAAAATAGAGTAATGAAACTTTCCAGTGTTGGCGATCAGTATAACTTTCTATCCCATATGGCTTAACATATCAACCCACCAGGCAGGAATAGGAGGTAGGAGAAACAGTCATAATGCTGAAAGACACATCACATCCAGCACATTCAAGTAGCCCCTGTTTTCTCATGTGCGTCCAAAGCCAAAGTTCACTTCCTACGTTTTGCAGTTTTTCTGCTATAGTCTCATGTTCATCCCTCATGCATGACATTATCATTATGAAATCCTCTGTGAAAAGAGAGCACTGCCTCATTTTTAGCTTGGTGAACATTTTGACCCTTTGGATTTTTTCTTTTGGCCATTTTGCCTGTCATGTTGCTTCTTCTCTTTCTTTTTCTCCCCTTTGGCTTCCTTGTACTTCCAGACAGGAGGTTCCAGGTAGCCCTTCTGCCTTTTTGGCATTTTCTCTCTCTTTGGAGTAGGAGACTTTGTCACGTCAATCTTAGGAATACAACGTGAGGGAAATATGCTGTTCCTGTGTGCCAGGCTACGGGGAATGAAACTTCTCATCATACCTAATGGCATGCTTTCCCTGCATCCTGGCTCCCGGCAGCAAGAGGTCAAAGATATGGAGGTGGCCGAGGCAGCAGTGGGAGAAGCAGAGGTGATGGAACCATTACTGTGGGAAACTGTGCTTTCCTCCAGCTCCTTGCTGCTGTGCTTTTCAAGCAGCTCAGGAACGGCAAACCGCCGCTTGCCAATTTCTGGGGGGCTGGTTGGACAGAGTGGATGGCAACCAGTTGCTATCAGGGGGCTGTGAATGCTTGTGGTTATCTGCACCATATGGTCCAAAAGCCCATTGTTTTGGGGGTCCTGAGGAAAGCTGAAAGTAAGGCTTTCTTTTAGGTACTGCCTCAGCTTCTGACTGGCTGTTTTGGTACAGGTGGCCTTTGCCACTAGTTGCTTCAGTTCAGGCCACGTGGCAATGTAACTTTCACAGAACTGCTCAGCGACAGGATGAGCCTGCAGGCGGCGTAGTCTTATCAGAGTCTCAAACCTTCCTGTTTTAAGGACCCACTCCTTTAGACCTTTCCCTTGGACCAGGTCCATTGCATTTATATCAGCACCTACACATAAAAGGGGGAAAAAATAGCAAAAAATCAGTTAAAAGAAGAAAAGGAGTTAGCAATCACTGGATGCTGAGAGACCTGATGAAAGCAGTTGCTCCCTAAATGTGATGTGTGGCATGAAACTATATACTGGGCCATTTCACAAGATGGTAAAAAATGATTTTGATTGCAGTTTGGTGAAATAATATATATCAGCCCAGAGTCCTGCAAACTTTCTCTATTGCTGTCTGGTCATAATAATTAGGTTCAACCCATTATTGGAGGAAGACAGTCAGTCAAAGGCAATGAAAATTCTGAATCATCATGGAAAATGCAGGTATTAAGAGCAGAACACCAGACATTTGTTTATGTTCCACACATTGCTCAAGTTTGCCTGTAATTACAATTATATTATGAATTAATGTTGTCAGTGTAGTGACGTCTGAATAAAACATGGGTGGAACCGCAGTTGTTACAGGACTAATCCCTGCAGTCCAGAGGAGAACCAGATTAGTCGACAGGTCAGATGTCCTGGTTTACCCCATATATAACACATGTATATAACATTCTTAGTTTAGTCCTAAACCACTGGATATGTGTCACGGTTGAGGATCTACACGAGTGCAAGAACCAGAATCTTACATTTGCTGACTCCATCTGAATAAATTTATTGCCCATGTGTGCACACACACATTGCTCCAATCTGAACTTATATCAGAAATCCTTTGTCTTACTGTATGTATCCTAAACCTACCATGCATTAGCAGGGCAGACATACACTCTTCTCGGCCCTGCATGCCTGCCTTGATGAGAGCTGTGAAGCCACGGGGATCCCTGACCTCAGTGTCCACCCCAGAGTAGTAGTTAAGGATATAGTTTAGAATGATGATGAAGCCTGGATTTAAAAAAATCATATTAATAGGGTAAAACCGAAATAAACTAGATACTGAGTTTATGAGCTGTACCTACCTGCCTGGGCAGCAATCATGAGGGCAGTGTTGCCATCATTGTCTTGGTGGTTGATATCTATTAATGGACACGTGTGCAGCAGGGTAACAATATCCACATAACCATTCCCCACAGCCACCATCAGTCCATTCTAATGGGGAACAAAGTAGAAATAAATTCACCTTAATTCAACTAATGAAGTTTACCTCTTCATAAAACCTTTTTGCATTTGCAAATTAGAATTATTCACAGTCACTTTCATTGTGTGATAAAAAGGAAAATAGATCTCTTCTCACTCTGCCATTGATGTCCAGCTCCATGGCCTCTTCTTTAGTGACCCCTCTCTTCAATATGCTTTGTAGGGATGCGGAGTCATTCCTAGCACAGGCCTCGTACAGTGTTTTAGCTGGCTCAGTATGCTTTACATCCCTTTCATAGTTGGGATATACTGAGTCCTCAGAAAGCACACTCCCTGAGTCAGAATCGTCCAGGGAAAACTCAAAGTCCTCCGATGGGCCTTCACCCAGGTAGGGGTCATCATATGCAGTGGCCATTGGACCCCCTTCTACCTGGGATCACACCTGGGTGTCAAGTCTGCTGCATCACATCACCCACATCTGGAATAAAAATATTTTACTGCTGTAAGTGCCATTATAATGGACACACATTTCTAGATTGCAGCCCAGCAGCCAAACAGGGGTATGGCGATGGGCTTGACTTCTTACAAAAGAGAAAATATAAAATTCAAAGAGAGGTGCATAACACCATCAAGCGTTATATGTGTAACAACAGATTTTAGAAGAAACAAACCCTGCATAACTGGTCCAGTCAAACAGCATGGGGGCAATGGAGAGTTCATTTACAATTTAGATAACTGTATTAGCATTTGGGATAAATACAGTGGTAGTAGAACAGCCTTAATGGACACAAAGCAAATACTGTACTGCTGATATAATCATCTGAAATTCTTAAAGCAGTAGGAATCTAGATAGTTATATATCATGTTCAATCTCAGGTCAAAAATGTGAAAGGTTTTAGGGAAAATAACAATATTTTTGTGCAAAAGGCATATCATTAAAACAGTATTTTGTTTGGTTCCATCTAATTTAGGAAGGTGCATGATTCCTTTTTTACAAAATGAGCTTCTTACACTGGTTCACATATGATTTAAAGACTAACAACAAAACTCTGGCAGCCAATAAAATTTGCACGTTAATTAGCTCTGGTGTCCTGACGCACCTTATCTATAAGGTGTCATGCTTAAAGAGGATGAGAGCTTCACCTGGTTTAAGGTCTAATGTCAGTGCCGCTGATCTGTAAGTCCACAGTTTACAGGCTAGGTCAGCTGTAACTAATGCTATTGCCTTCTTTTCACCTGTGTTTGCTCATCTTGTTGCCTCAGCCCATTATAGAATAGAGAAGAGTATATGTAGGTATTAGAACCCTGACAGCACAACAAATCATTTTAGAATATTTAAAATTATTGAACCTCCATATGTAAAACTGTGTAAGACAAGTAGATGTCTCTGTATTAAAATAGCATGTACAGTATTGATCAAGAAACATCTGTAGAAGCTCAGTCTGTGAAATTACTGTGAATGAAGACATAGTAGGAGGAGTGCACTGTGTTGAGAAAGGCCTTATGGTGCCGAAAGCAATGGGATGCCAGCCTAGTGACAGCAGCAGGTGACGTGGTATCTTAACCTCGTCACACAGCTTTGCAGTAAGGATGCTGGGGTATCCAGTGATTCACAATTTGAGTTTTTCTGTTTAAATCAGCACACTATGCAAAACCAACCATACAATTTGTTGTAATTTTTGAAGTCAGTAATCACCCTATTTCTGAAGACTCTGACTTTGTTATTCGTAATGTTTTATTGAGCAACAGATGACAGTGAGGACAAACTGTTTAATTGCTTTAATATGTGTGTATGTGTGTGTGCATCCGTGATGAATTTACAGCGGAAAAGACAGTCAGGTCTGTCCATGGAGGGTTTCTCTTCTCAAGCTGCCTTGGCTCTGTTTACAGCACTAAACAATATCCACACTAGACACAAATTCACTCAGATAACTGCTTACACACAAATACCTTTGCATCTGCTGTATTTATATGTTTATGCTAAGTTATTAGGATCTTTTGGATAAGTTCTTGTTGAATGTTAGATAGAAGTGCTCAAGTCCTTAAATTCCACCAGAATATATTGCTGTTTTAGCACTGTGTCATGCACAAGAGTGAGGATTAATGTCTCACAAAGCTTTTCTCCTTTCTTCCTTCTTCTGCACAAAGTAAGCTCACACTTCTTGCAACACCTTGCAATCTGGTCAAGCTTCTTCCTCCAAATTCTAAATATGAGCTGTCTCTGTTTCCTCTTTAAACTATGAATCATATAAAACCATTTGTGTCAAAAGCACACAAGAAACAAAAAAACAGAAGATAAAAGTCAAAATCTCACCACAAAACAACCCAGCTATGAGGTAGTCTGCTTCTCTTTTCTCTCTCTTTTTGAGCTTGGTTTAAACCATCTTCATATATTGGACTTCCAAGCTTTCTGTTGGCCCTTGGAAGAAACTACTTTAGTCAAGTTTAAGTTTCCCAACCTGATTTGCTCTAGCCTTCCTCCTTCCTCCATCTCTCCTACTGGCCTGTTTGAAGTCTGACCAGGTCCCAACATAGATTCTGTTGTTCTAAGTCAGGCAACATGCTCTCTACCTCTCATCCTGATTACAGAAGATTTAAGGATTATGAGAAAGAAACAGACAGGAGCCAACCTTGCTCTCCTTACAGTCTGTTGAGTTAGTCTGCTCTGTCTTGCTCCTCTTTCTCACTTGTCTCCACAGCTCTCTCAGAATCTGTCCATCTGCTCTTTGCAGCCTGTCTGTTGTGTCAGAGCAAACCTCTCTAACTGTCCAAATAAGTGCTGTGACTGCTTCATAAAGGCCGTGGCTCTCAAATCTGCTGTGCTGCTGAGGGGGGCCCTTGCCTGAGTAATTTCAGTGTGTCTATGTGATGGGAGACAGTGTTTTTCCATGGAAATTCATTTGCTGGGACATCAAACTAACCCTGCTGTTACTCCATCCCAGGGGGCCTCGGTAGTTATTATTCCCATGACAGGGATGACACACTCAGACATGCATGAAAACACATGGACACACACTGTACACCCACACAGACGCTGTAAATTTTGGAGCAAGTGACTGATCAGCATGCTTGCACAATAAGGCAACAGAAAACAGTAGATTTATTCTTCTCAACTGCTCTAACACAGTATTATGTGTTTCCTATCAACTTCATTTCTGTTTTGGCCTCCCATGTCATAAATCTTTGTCCCCCAAGGATGCCCTGCTTTCCTCTTCCTGCACGGGGGGAGTTCAGAGGAGAGTGAGCATGCCATTTTTTTAGTACTCCTATTTTCATCTATAGTTAAATTAACCTTCTTTTATTACTCATTCAGTGTAGGTTTGTATCAACACAAATGTCACAGGTCAGATAAATAATCTAATATTCCAATTATAAAACACCTGGTTAACTTCAACTAGTTTAACATCGGTTTTATGCCATAGTTTGAACACAACCTTGTTTTGAGGGCTGTGACAGAAATATTGTGTTAACAGGTTTATTTACAGCATTAGAGACTTAATCACATGGACTCACAGGTGCATGTAAACAGATTAAACATCATACTGAATTGGAAAAGGGCCAATTAGTAGTGACTTTGTGCATGGGATTGCAGCCTGTTATGCAAGTTTCTCTCTGTTACAGGGATGTAGATTGCCCTCTTCTGATCAAACTGGGAAATGCAGTGCTTAGACATGGGACTTGTTTACATGCTGTTTGACAAGGTTTTCAGACAGCTCCTGTTAAAAATATCCATATGAATGAGTCACAATGTCGAGCACAGCTTTTGTCTACATTGTCTCCAAATAGATCTACAAACTTGTAACAAGACACACCTTGTTTTCTCTGCACGTAGTGTAAATGTCTCCACTTTGAGTGGAATAAATTGCTATCAAATGCCTTGTGATAGCATGGTTCAATCACATCCATCATCGTAGACCCCTGTCTTCCACTGACTAGAAGACAGGGGCCACTGTGACAAATTCAAAAGTGCTTTCATCCTGACAATTATAGTTGCTTATCTTCTCTGAAAAGCAGAGACAAATTGTTGATAGCAGCCAAATGACACTGACACAGCTCGAACAACATAATCCCACTAAATCCCATTGAATGCCTTAACTGCTTCCTTATTAGAAGCTGCCCCTATGACTGTGAACCATCAGACCTAAGGCATCACGTTAACCTGATCCAAGGTACTGTGTTTAAACACGAGTCTGATGTGGGTCTCGACTCCTTCCTCGTATGAAAAACAGGAAGAGGAAAGAAGGGCATCCATGGGGGCAAAGATTTATGGCATGCAAGGCCAAAACAAAAATGAAGTTGATAGGAAATAATACAGAATAAAAGGAAGTCTTTTTGGCACATCAGGGTGGGGTAGCAGTGGAGTGTGTGCTTTCAGTGTTTTCCTTTATCCTTGTAGCTACACAAGAATCACCTACTCACTGTGCCAGATGAGGGCAGCATAGCACAGCAAACTTTAGCACTAGGTTTGCACTTATTGCAGACGTTATTGCACTGTTTAAAATCCAATCCATTTCACAAATGATTATGAACCTGGTGTATGAGTCAAGAAACATTTTGTTCTGATTCCCACCTCCTGAGAATACTCACATGTTCCCTTTATGTTCCTCCTTTTCTGCAAATTCCTCATACTGCAAAACACAGCCATCTTCTCCTCAAAACAAACTTTGGGAAGCAGTGAACTACAGTTAGCCAGCTTAGTGACTGCTTCTAAAGGCAGCCATGTGCTTAACTAATACTAGATTATTGGCAGTCTCTCCAGGGCCCTTCTTACAAGCATTCTGTAAGCATCTGTTATATTATTTCCACCTATGTGGCTAAAAGGCAGAACACTTCTCTGCTACTTGTTCCCAAGCATCTAAGTGCCTGCAAAAATCATGTCAGTGAAGAAACAGAGCTAAGCAAGTTATAAAAATGGGAGGTGGAGATTTGTGGGAGAGATATGATTGCATGTCTGATAGCCACTGGAGATATTCATTGAAATAATGAACTTTTCACTGGTCTTGAGTGAACAACTTTACCCCAGACAAGGATTCTTAATTAATAAAGCTATAGAACGCCATCTATAAAAATCCCAAAAGTAGCTGTATTTGTGTAGTTTGTTATCAAATGAAAAACCATTACAGGTCCATAGGTTCCATGTGGCAGTCCTGGTCTGGATAAAGTGATTCGGATGTGTCCACAGTCTTGACCTTGTGCTAATAGGTGATGTTTATGTGGAAACTTTGTATGAACACAAAGTGGTTGTGGAAAGTATAATGTTTCTTCACACTCTAACATCTTTACACTGTCAGTAATTCTCCAAGGTCTGCTCTGCTGCCAGTAACTAAGTGTACTAAGTCCTGATAAAGTTGCACTTTTTAATTTCTTCACTGCCTCACATGCTTCATTGCTCTTTTTCAAAGATAATGCAAAACC